AAACTTGTGTTCTGAAATGAGCAGGCTGCCTTTTCAAAACCAATAATAAACGGTCCTTTCACTGAAAATGCATCCCAATTCTCATTCACTCTACAAACACTAATTTAACTATTATTCTAAACGCGAGGTCCTTCCAGGAAAGACTCAGACAACAAGCTTACACGCTCCAAGAGGAACGGGGTCATATTTAGACAGACATTCTTGCTCCTCCCTCTCCCTCTTCAACAAGGAAGATGAGGCAAAATGGGAGGATGGTTCAGAGGCTCTCCTTGGAGAGGTAAATAAGAATACTGAAAGTTAGCTTCCTAGTGCACCCAAAGGCACAAAGAAACATTATTTCACGGCAGACTTGGTCATCTCTCACTGCTGTGCTCAGGGTGAGCACAGGCCAAAAGACTGCCACAAAATCAACAGCAGGTGATTGAACATAATCTGCTCCAGGGGATAAAGAGGGACAAAGATGCTGTGAAGAACTCATAACAGTCTCCCAGCCAAGTCACGTGTAGACCTTGATACTTGGCGAGACTGAGAAAGACGATGAGTTGCTGGAAGGTATGGTTCAGGATTAAGAAATGAAAAAGACCATAGACCTGTAGACTTCTCAGACACCTACATATTTTCAATCAATCAACAAGCACTTATTAAGTAAAATGGGTTAGGCTTGGAGATTCAAGGAAAAAAAAATGACGAAATTCTTGCCCTCAAGGACTTGGGGGTGGGGGGAAGATGCCCTCCCCATGCATCGTGATCATCATCATGAGTAATATCAATAATAATAGCTAGCAGTTACATAGTGTCTACTGTGTTAAGCCTTTACAAATATTATCTCATTTAATCCTCACAACAAACCTGGGAGGTAGGTGCTATTATTATCCCCATTTGACAGATAAGGAAACTGAGGCAAACAAAGGTTAAGTGACTTGCCCAGGGCCACACAGTTGGGAGTGCCTAAATTCAGATTTGAACTCAGGTCTTCCAGACTCCAGGTCCAGCACTCTGTGCACTTCACCACACTGTTGCCTCGTGTGTTCACAGATCAGTACATAGAGGATATATACAAAATAAATACATGGCTATTAGCAGAGGATGAGGGCTGAGGGGAGTAACAACTAGCAGAATCCAGGCCTCATGAAAGACGTGGCCCCGGAACCGAGCCTTGAAGGGTGCTAAGAACTCTCTCCAAGGGACAGAATTCCAGGCCGGGGAGACAGAGACAGAGAAAAAACGTTGCAGACAAGGACTAGCAGGGAACCGCTCTCCCTTCACAAAGCATGCCAGGGGGCTCTGCACAAATCAAAGACCAAACACGATGACAAAAAAATGAACACGACTCATTAGTGATGTGGGATCGTTTCCAATAACCTGTGTCCTGGGGAAAGGTCCACATCAACACCAGACTGGAACAGAACGAAGAGAAGACATCAAGGCAACTGCAATCCTGCAAGCTGACCTGTCCAAAGAAGTTTCTGGCGCCCCCAAAGAGGGTTTAAATAAAGGAAAAAAGAAACAAACTTGTCACGGTTATGACAATTTTCTATGGAAATCTTAACCAATGCAAAGCAATCACCATCCTGAGGAGGCTGGAAAGTCCAGAAATGGCCTCACCACTAAAACTCCAATATCCCTGCCAAGCTAAGGGACATGGCAAACCAAGATGAACAGAAGTCCAGAAGGTGAAGCCATTTCAAAACAGAAGACGGAGAGAAGACTCCGAGGAGGAAATTGTAAGACTCTGAGCAACGTCACTTCATCAAAGTGGGAAAACTAGAGGAGGGTGTCAGGGGGAGAAAGCTTGAAGGGAACTTGGAGGTTTGCTAGTCTAATCCCTAATAGATGAGGAAACTGAGGCCAAGGGAAGTTAAGTGCCTTGCCCAAGATCACACAGGTAGTCAAGGATAAAGACAGGAAAAATGAACTGCAGAAAAGCTGGTCACGAGGCCCAACTAAGCCATATTGTCTCAAACGCATTTATAAATGATGCTCAAAGGATGATAAGTAGGTGAAAAACTGAAGAGATCTCCCAGAAATCTATGATAATCAACATTTTAATCAGCAATGACAGTGACAGATTTAGAGCTAGGAAAGATCTTAGAGGCAATTTGAGACATGCTGTCATTTTATAGATGAAGAAACTGAGGCACTAAGGGAATGAGGGACTTGCCCTGGGGCACACAGCCAGTAAGCGCCTGAGTAGAGATTTGAACTCAGATCTTCCTGACTCAGCGTTCTGTCTACTATGCCACCAGCTACCACCACCTCTGGCCTCAATAAGCTCCTAATGAAATAATGAGGAAGTAAAAATAGCACTTAAAAAGCCAAGTCAAGAAAAGTAACCAGACAATATCAGCCACTTGGATGATGGACCTGTCAACAATGTGTCCCCTCTAACCACGGAAGGTCCACCTGACATGCTCGGGCCCTTCCTTGCGGAACTGAGAGGATTCCCAGGGAAGGATGTGGGCTGACCCTCAGTTATCTCTTGTTCTTATGATGTGACCTGCCTATGGTCTTTCCTGATCATTTCCTGAACCTCTCTGGTCACATCCTACAGGTCTCCAGTTCTCGAGAAGGTGTTGCACTCACCATGCTCACACTCACCATGGGCTTCTTTAAGTGATACACACTGCAAAGCTGTGAAAGCTGTAGGATCACAGCCATACAGATATTCACGCTGGAGGAACTGGACATTAACTAGAGAGGGTCATTAAAAGAAGCAGTGTTCCAAAGGCAATCCAGCCCATTCAGTCTCCTGCTATGTTCACTGCCCATCCACAGAGTCTTTTCAAGTTCTGATCAAAATGATGGATGAGCTCTATAGGTTCTCCATCTAAGTGCACACCAGAGTCAAAATGAAAGGCATTCTTCATCCACTTGGTTTTTCCTCTGTGGATGGCTAGGCTACAATCTTTCCAGAGGTTATGAATCTCATCCAAAAGACTCTGCAATGTGCTGAGGCCTGATGCGACAAAGCACAATGCCACCCACAAACAGAAGAACCTACAGGACTTGTCATCATCTCGACACAGTTGTGGACAACATAAGCCTTGAACAGAAACTTGTCCATGGAATTACGGAAAAGGACAGCGGAAGTTTATGAGCAATATTACCTCCTAAGAGAAATGAAGCGGACAGTAAAGCCAATTCAAAGTTTAAAAGCCAGTTTTTAAAAAAATCTCCACCTCATTTGACAGATGAGGAAACATCACACAGTGTCTGGGGCAAAATTTGAACTCAGGTCTTCCTGACTCCAAGTCCCATGGCTCTATCCAATATGTCACCTACTGCCCTGTACCACCTTACTGGGGACTAAAGGCAGGTAGATTTATGTAGCGATTACCCATGATGTGAATGATCACAATGGACAGACAGTATTTATCTACTGGACAGAACCTGTCAGACTGAAGATTACAAAGGAGCGTACAACAACTTTACAAAGAGGCAAAAAGAATAAAACAACCATAAGCATCAGGTGGGAGTTTTTGTTCCTACTGTGAACCAAGGTTTCAGAAAACACACATGGTTTTGGTAACTGAAAAGGAAGTGGCTGCTAACAGACTTGTATCATCTGCACACCAACAAAAGCAACACCACCATTCTAACTGTGCAATCAAATTCAGCCAACACCTAAGTACCCAAAGGTAAACATGAGGGTCAAATAAGTTATGTCAAGTGTACTGCAAACCTTAAAGCACGGCACAAATGCAAACCACCAGCATTCATTATTAAAATTATTTTCCTGAAAAATAATTTCTAAATGACAATCTGCCAGATCTAATCAAGGATTTATGAACTCCTTTGCTATTTAGGATGTCTTATAAGGTGATGACATTCTCATCAGTCGCTCGTCTCTTCATAAGGATTTTCAAATAAGTCATTTTGTCTAAAGAAAACTTGCTTTCGAGTTTATAATTTTTGTTAAAAAATTAAGATTTCTAGTTTTGAAACAAATTACATAGATTACACCTGTTTCATTTAAAAAAATAAAGTTATATTAGAGCAGAGTATAACAGGATGAAGTACAATTGGAAGGTTTTCTCTTTAAATTTGGACCTATACATCATAATTAATAATTATAACTGTATGCTACAAATAGGGACAGGAACTAGACATGTGGCTTCCTTGGTCTAAGGAACTCTGGGGGTGAGGAAACTCCCTCCACCAATGCAGGTCAGCACCTTATCTGCTTAAACACTGAGACAGCAGTGACTTCTCCACACCAGTATGTGCCATAGTGTAAAACTGAAAATTGATTTTAATTCTATTTTGCTAAGACTTGATCAAGCTAGATTTAATATTCTCTTTGAGGGTCCTTCCCCTTTTAAACTTCACCTACCACCCAGATCCCAGAGAAACCTGCCTAGAGGTAATTACCTCCACCTGGATAACCCTACCTAACATCACCCACTTTTCAGAGTAACTTTATTAAACTAAAAGGTCAAATCTCATCAATTTAAACCATTGTTTAATGGTTTAACAACACCTCCCAACACCTAAGAACCTTTTGTCTGGTGACTCCTCTTGGCTGTGATTAAGGAGGTTTCAGAAGGGGCAGTGCAAGTAATGTCATTTTGATTCTACATCATCAATAGGCCATCAGAAGACACACCCATGTTGTTCAGATTTTGCCTTGTCAACTAGCTAATTGTTATAAAAGACCCAGTCAGCCCTCACTCAAGGTCTCTGGTCATCAAGACAGCGCCATGATCCAATTTACTGGTTACTTCTAGCCTAACTAGTAAATTGATTGGACTCAGAACTTTGTCTCTCAGAATTTCTATCACAAGAGGCATGCCTTAAACCCAGGTCTTTCTAGTTTGGAGGCCAGCTTTCTAGCCACTATGCTGTGCTGCCTCAAAATATAAAAATAAATTATAATTCATCCTAACTCAATTTCAATTTTCTATCACTACTGCTAACAGTGAACTCAACTCCCAAAGTTAAAAAAAATCCTGCTGTACACTCAATCAATAAAGTGGGAAAAAAAATGCTGATATCCTTACCTCCTCATCAGAGTCATCGTCAAACACTGATGGCTTCTGCAAAACAGGTTTCTGCAACTGCTGCGTTTTCTTTGGCAAAATGAGCCCATATCTGCAGAAAGAGAATGGAAACCACACCAGTATACAGCTTACTAAATATTTTTAAATGTAATCACAACCTCTTGTAACCTCAGAGGAAAATGTAAAGAACAGCACCCATGCTATCAAACTTGGCTTTGTCACATGAACATGTATTAAAATAAAACAGAATGTTTCTGGAAGCTTATTCCAAACGTTTTTATGTTAATATGCCACACAAGATTTCACTGAGGCAGCATGAGAGAATTCTTAGAGTCCGAAAGACTTGAGTTCAAATCCTACCTGAGACACTTAGCTGTATGACTCCTGATAAGTCAGTCTGCCTCGTCTCTGAGCCTATTTCCAGCTGTATGACTCCTGATAAGTCAATCTGCCTCGTCTCTGAGCCTATTTCCTCATCTGCAAAAGGAATTTAGACTCCATGCCTTCAAGCTCTAATTCTATGATCCTACCATTATAAGAATTCCCTGACACAATTACTTCATGTCCTATAGGATTCGTGGCCACTTTCAAATGCCTTAACTCTTTGAAGAAACGGTTATTCCAAAACTCTGTGTTCTTTCACCTCATCACCAGAAACAAGTTGTACCCCCTTAGTAGAATGTGAACTCCTTGAAGGCAAGGACCATCTCACTGATGAATTTATATTCCCTATGTCTGCCCCAGGGCCTGGCCCACAGCATGCGCTCAATCCTTTTTTTTTTTTCAAACTGATCCTACTTTAGTAGCAAGTAAAGTGGGTTTCAAGGAAAACTGGCAAGCGTTCCAAGGGTCTCTACAATAAAGTATCTTTTTGTGTGTGTGGGGAGGGGGGGTCCAGACCTGTGACTTCACAGTGACATAGGGAGAAGTCTCTCTCCCAATACAGATCAAGGAGGCCCTGAGAGGTTAACTGATTTCCCCAGGGTCACACAGCCATTATGAATGAGAGGCAGGAGCTGAAACCTGACTCTGGGGTCAGCTCTCTACCCACTAAGCAGAGCTTGCCCCCCATATGACGAGCTTATAGGTCAAAGTAGGAGGACTTTTTGTATAAGATATGTAAACACACAAAAAACGTTGAATAGTTTTCCTCATCTATAAACTGAGAGGGTCAGCCTAGGTGGCTTCGGAGGTCGTGACCAGCTCTGGGTCTATGAGCCAGATTCTTCTTCAGAAGTCAGGACCACCAGTCCTCCTGCTGATCCCACCACATTCATGGGGAGTCCCTTCCTGTTAAGCGCTCTCTCCCCCCACAGCCTGGCACTGCAACCAGCACTCTGGCTTTGGTGGAGGAACTGTGTTCAAATCCTCTACCACGTGGGATCTGTGTGACCCTAGGTAAGTCACTTATTCCTGGACCGAGCTTCCTTGTCTTTAAAATGAAGGAGCTAAACCAAGCAGGTCTCTCCCAGCTCCAGAATTACAGGATTCTAAGGCACAGCACCTCCTCTGTACAATGTCAACCCTACACCAGAGGTTCTTAACCTGGGGCCCATGAACTTGTTTCAACATTTCAACAACTGTATTTCAATGTAATTTGTCTGCTTTTTATTTTATTTAGATATATTTTATGTACTTGTTTATGCATTTAAAAGCATGACTCTAAGAAGGGCTTCCCAACATGCCAGGAGTCCATGACAGGAGAAGCTTAAAGCTATTAATTATTCACATTTTTTGCACCCTACACCCCTTTGGCAATCTAGTCAAGCCTACAGGCCCCTTCTCGTGAATGAAATACTACATAATATAATGTTGATAATATCCAGGATTCACGGGGCTTCATTTTAACTTCTTTTGTATCATTCTATTTTAACTCATGATGTTTAATCTCATTTGACCCTCACAACAGCCCTGGGAGGTAGGTGCTATTATTATCCCCACTTTACAGCTGAGGAAACTGAGGCTGCGAGGTAGTGACTTGTCCAGTGTCAATCCATAAGCACGTATTAAGTGTCTACTATGTGCTAAGACCTGGGGATGCGAAGAAAAGTAAAAGATAGGCCCTGCCCTCCACGAGCTTACAGTCTAATAGGAGAGGGAGGATGTCACCTAGCCTGGAGTGTGGGAGACAGAATTCGAACCCAAGTCTTCCGGACTTCAAATCCTGCGTTCTACCCACTGCATCATCCACGTCATTTTTACATAGAGTAACCAAGGAAAACAAGGAGCAGAGAAAACGAACCTAACTTTCTTTCCCGTTTAAATTCACGAACCCCCTGGATTCTCTCCACAGACAGACCCTCGCCGCGCGGGGTCCCTGGGCCCCCAAACTGAGCGGCCCCCCGCTGGGGGTGCCTGGCCCCGCCCCCATCACGATGGTGGTGGGGAGCTCCGCTCCTCCCTGCTCCGGTGCGGGGCTGCTCCCAGTCCCGTCCCCCCGTCCCCGAGGTCCCCTCCTCAGTCCGCTCCTCTCTCCTCCAGACCCCCGCAGGCCTGACCCCAGCCCCAGCTCCCTCCGCACTCACTGCCTGCGCGGAGCCGCCATCTTGCTGCGGCCTACGCTCGACACCGTAGCGGTAAAGTAAAGCTAGCACCGACGCCGACG